GGCTCTCCTGATAAGGAGAGAGACTTGAGAGAGTTCAGGATATCGCCAAAAGGCGAGTGCTGAAAGATGTCTGCGGCGGTGAACTCCATTATCGGCGCCCAATCGGATTCGATCGGCAGGGGCGCGGGGGGGTCGGAGTTTGGAAAGGAGTCCGGATCCTCGGAGTCACGGATCATGCAGAGTGCGGGGCTAGCGTTCGGCTCGATCGCCTTTGAGATCGAAGTCCCCGAGGTGACGTCCAACCACTCATCCTCGATTGGCGCAATAGGCTCTGAGTTAGGGGTCGGAACCAATGCGTGTGTGGCCTCCAGGACACTGTCCGGAGGCAGAGCTAGATCATGCCCCTCGAGATAGTGCGGCGCGCTTGGCCTTGGCTCGAACCCGTCGAAGATCAAGTCTCCGCGGATGTCAGCCGTGTAGTTTAAGCTTCCAAACCTGACTTGATGGCCAGGGGCGTAGCTTTCGATCTGCTCCAGGTGGCCGAGCGAATTGGCCCGCAGAGCGAAGCCGCCGAAGACGAAGATCTGTCCGGGGAGAAAAGTCTCACCCTGGACCGTATCGTTGTTGATGATCAAAGGAGCCATCGGGCCTAAAGGCGACGACACAGAGGAACTCTCAATGAAAGCACCAATGTCGGTGTCAAAACCGGCGGATCTCGGGTAGGGGGTCCCGAACTGTGCGTCTAGGCTGGATGGTAACAGGAGGCAGGGAACACGATGTTTTACCTAGGTTCGGGCCCTCTCGGTGGAGGTAAAACCCTACGTCCTGCTTTATTAATATTGATGATATGGGTAGTACAAGAGTAGATCTACCACGAGATCAAGGAGGCTAAACCCTAGAAGCTAGCCTATGGTATGATTGTTGTATATGGAGTTGATGTCCTACGCACTACAACCCTCCGGTTTATATAGACACCGGATAGGGTTAGGGTTACATAGAGTCGGTTACAATGGTAGGAGATCTTGAATATCCGCATCGCCAAGCTTGCCTTCCACGCCAAGGAAAGTCCCATCCGGACACGGGACGAAGTCTTCAATCTTGTATCTTCATAGTCCAGGAGTCCGGCTGAAGGTATAGTCCGGCTACCCGAACACTCCCTAATCCAGGACTCCCTCAACAACCTTTGTGTTGCTTGAACTAGTCCTTAGATTTTCACCTTAAGAGGTAAGACTTTGAATTGCACCTGTGTTGTCAACCCCACTTACATATCGCTGCTACAAAATCGGAAAATCCAAGCAAGTTCCTCATCGCCACAAAGGCTCCAATCACCACTACTAGTCCCTCGATCTCGGCTTCCATGACATTCTTTGCCTCTGACTTCACCATGAAACTAAACATATCCCATGATGACAACAGATAGCATAGCTTCGCACCGCTCCCTCCTTAACGGAGAACCAGTGGGAACGAACGAATCCCACCTGATCCAGCAATCTCCAGGCATAACGCGCCCATGAGAGTTCGCCGGCGGAGCCTTTCGAAACCCGACAATCCGACCAGATCAAGGAGGACAGGCGTCAGGCAGATCTTCGTCTTGTCACTCGAGGAACCCTAGGACCGCCCCTTTAATTCAGGCCGAGTCCAAAGCCCCCACGCCACCATGTCATCCTGGATCAGATCGGAGGGATCAGTTGGCACCTGCACCTCGATGCGAGGACGCCCATCGAGTTTGCCATATGAAGGTCAGACGACGACCAAGGGATGCGCGGATCTGGCGCCGCATCGGGAGCACATCCATGCCCCTGCTGGGATTCATAGCCAACGACGCGCCGTCGCGCGCCATGGAGGAGCATGCCACGCACCACCGCACTGCCTGAGCACATCCACGCATGGACAAGCACCAACGACATGGCCGGCCGCCGCCTCAGCCTTGAATCCGAGGGGGAAAACGCCGCGCCACGAGAGAGAGCTCGCCCCGCCGCCGCCGTCCGCGACATGGGCTTAGCCCGGTCGCCTCCTTCGGCGACCGCGAGGGGAGGGGGGGGGGGGCTTGCGGTGGCCGACGGCTGGGGCTCCCCCGTGTCACCCGTGAGAGAGACGCAGGGGTTGGGGCGACTAGTATCATTACCTATGTCATAAATTACCTGCCTTAGATTTTTCTAAATACGGATGTATCTAGACATGATACATCCGTATCTAGACAAATCCAAGACAAGTAATTTGGGACAGAGTATTAATCAAGTTTGTCTGCATGTTGTGTTTGTTACAAATTTTGCAGTGCACTTGCGAACCGAGCTAGGTTCCTTGTGGTTGAACCAAGTCCTAGACTTAGTTTTTATTTTTCAAAATTATTGTAGGCTTCCCGACGCTATTCTTTTAGTGATATGATACTTGCTCACAAGCTGGGGGCAGTACATATTTGCTGAGATTTAGATGGATCAACCTTCCCGCTTCCGTGTACATCGCCTTGGTTTGGCTGGGATTCATGGCAATGAAACGTCAAACATCGCATTGGTAAGTGCACAGAATGGAGAAAGATGGCATGTGACGTTGTAGGTTACTTTTTTTAGCACCGTTATAGGTTGGTTTATTAGTCCACTTCGTATTTTGTTCAAATTTTAATTAAAGATTTAACTAGCAAAATATTAATGCATGTCACAAAAAATTATATTGTTGGGTTAGGCTAGTTGTAATGGAAGTATCATAGGTAGTATCGTGCATGCCAACTAGGCAAATTTAATGATGTGTCATAAAATTAAATGAAGAAAAAGAGGGTTGAGTATCATATCAATGATACCGTATCATATTAAATGTTGTGCTACTATGTGTCATGCATGCTAATAAATGAAGTCATCTATAATACTAACATATGATACTATGCACTACATATATAGTATCATACACTAGTATCATATGCATCATACTAGTATATGATACTTTCCATTACGACCAGCCTTAGTATTTGAATATAGTTTTCGATAATATTATCTTTGCTACGTATAATTTATATTTTGTTAGTTAAAATCTGATCAAAATAACCAAAACGGGGGTAGTCAGGGGCGGAATTGGGCCTGAGGTAACTGGGGCTATAGCCCCAGGCGTGGCCCAACTAGCTCTATCCATCCAATACGATTTTTCGAAATCACTAACTGAGGAGTACTTGTTGCAAAGATCACTCCAATTTTCCTGGTTGTGACAAGTGGCGCATATGCAGTGTGCCATATATCACAACCTGCGAGTTTTTCCTTTTTTCGTAGATTCGTTTATTCAAAATGTTTTATCTCTCAAACCGTGCGTCCAAATCTCGAACCGCTTTCATCGTTGGATTCCTCGCGTTGAGATCTTCAAAACTAGATCCCATATTGATAAGTTTTGACGAGCTTTTTCTCACAAAAAAACCAGACAAAAAAACCGAACTGGGAGCACGGTTTTTTCCCTTTCCGAAAGAGGCACACCCGTGCCTCTCACGAAATCACAACCGTGCCTCTCGCAGAAGCAAAACTGTGACTCTCGCGAAAGGAAAAAAAAAGAAAATGCATTTTTTTCCGTTTCCGAGGAGGCACGGCCGTGACTCTCGTGAAAGCACAACCGTGCCTCTTGCGGAAGCAAAACCGTGACTCGCGAAAGGAAAAAAAAACAAAAAACGCGTTTTTTCCTTTCTGAGAGGCACGTCCGTGACTCTCTCGAAAGCACACCCGTACCTCTCGTGGAAGCAAAAACGTAACTCTCGCGAAAGCAAAAAATAAATAAATAGAAAACACGTTTTTTTTCGTTTTCGAGAGGTACGGCCGTGACTCTCGCGAAAACAAAATCGTGCCTCTCGCGGAAGCAAAACCGTGACTCTCGTGAAAGGAAAAAAAAGAAAACACGTCTTTTTGTGCAAATAAACATTTTGTTAAATTTTTTTATTAAAAAGCTAAGGAAGACCGGTGAAAAACCAAAACGTTGAAAAAAACCCGTTTAAAAAGCCGAAAACGCGTGGGAAATAAATGAGTTGTTGATGGTAAATTAAATTATGTTAGTCAACTTTATTTCATTTCTATTCATTGAGAGGGAAAAAAGGAATCCAAGATGTGTGTTCTTAAGCATTTTTTAATGTATTTTTTCACCATTGATATTTGGCGTTATAGCTGCTTAGTTTTAGCTCTAGGCTCTGAGAAATCCTGGCTCGGCCTCCGGGGGTAGTACTAGGTTGTGTTGGGCTCTGGCCTCAACTGTGGGTTTCATAAGTGAACAACATGCATGTAGCCATGTATGTATAATCGTTTTTCCCATCAAATCATTGGTAATCACCTGAATACAGGTCAATACCTACGGCCCTCCCTTGTTCAAGTCCATGTGGTGCCCTGATCCTTGTGATTAACGGCCTCACTTCTTTAATACCAGCCGTTATTCCTTTCAATACATTGATGCACGAGGCTTTAGCATACTCCTGGAAAGAGTACATGGCATGTATATGCATCTGTTCATGCTACCAAATAACATGGTTATCGTTTTATGTGCATATATAGATGCATATTTCTAGTTCATGCCCAAAAAAGTGACGATAAAAGTGATTGCATGACCTCATGGCTGTCTGGGAGATATCTTTGCTGGCAGAAATATTGGGTCGCTTATTAGGGCCCTTGAAGTAAAATGCTTCTGGGATAGACATTGTTAAATGTATGAATGATAGTTGTCTTGTGTCCCTTGATTTATTACCCTTTATGTATTCATATATTATATATTTATATGGCGGTGGCATGATTATACACATAATACAATTCTTTGGGGATAACAGTTTCTCAAACAAACAAGCTTCACTATTTTGCAAAGCATATCCAAAACATTACATAGACACCAACAAACAGATGGGTTGACATGGATTAAGGACTGGACATCCACCATGCTATAAACCCACATCTTATTTTGAATGAAATATAGAAAGAGGGTATGCTAATGCATACTGTCGTGACACAAGCGGACCACATTAATGATCCATCACGCCGCAAGAAACTGTGCAAATACACTGTTTGCATCAAATTCCTCACGTCGGCTTTATTTTTCAACAAACGAGCTGCGCCTCAAGCCTGTAGAAAAATAAGTGAAAACATGGCTTGTGTCATGTCATGTGTGCGTACATAAAGCTTTGTTACTTGATATGCAACCCACTACAGATTAAATGTGTAAAAAATGCATTTGGGTTAGTTCAACATGGCTAATCTTCTATATCTAAATAGCTAGCGTCGAATAACCAATAAATTTCTCTCAACATGCAAGCATGTCACATCAGCATGGATTATACAATGGAAAAGGTCAACCTTAGCATGCAATCATGCATAGGATAAACCCACCTCAACGTGCAAACATGCATGTGAATTTTCATTATATTATGGTGGATCTATTTTTTTAAATTATTTACAAATATACAATAATCAGACACAATTAATCATATGTATTTTCAGTTTTAGTTCTCATATTATTTACCCCAAATATTCAGCCTCCCCATATTAAATCTCAGTGATATATATTGCAGAACATACCCACAACAAAGTGCATGGTATCATCTAGTGTTGTTGAAAATAGAATGTGACATAATGCATTTGCATTGCATATGCACAAATTTCTTAATTTATTGCATTTTTAGTAGGGTGCTCTCTAATGTCCTATTGTTTCCCTTCAAAAAGTAGAACATTACAATCTGGATACAAACTTTTGAGAATTATTCTTACAGGTTGCGGATTCGTGTAGCGTACACGGATATTAAGTTCTTTAATACCATCTTCCCAAGTAGAGGCAGGATGATTTGTGAAACTTATTATACCCTGTGCCATAATGAATTGACCAGTCCCACCAACAATGGACCACTGGCCACTTTCCAAACCCGCTGTTATGCCAATCACCTGAAGGGTAGACCCTGCAAACCTGTTTCATGTGCAAAATAGCAAGTTCCGCCAGCAGGTTAGAAGTGCATGCAGCTTTGAACAAATGCACATCTATTAATATGTGTATGTACACCAGTAACTTGTGTAAAATTCTTCGCTACAAATATAATAGAGGCAAGAGCATAACTTCAATGTCGCGGGCGAAAGAACTCACGAAACACATATTGAGATATTCAAAAATAGTGAAATAGAGAACATATTACCTTCCTTGCTCAAACTCTATGTTATGAGTCATGTACCATCTATTATCCTTGGTTAAACCAGCCTGGACATGCACGCCTTGTGCACGTGCAACAACTGTATCTTTGGAATTTGTTGTCTCGGTAAGAGTCCAGTCATGAACTATCGTCGTCCCAAACCCAAAAGGAAAACTTGTTTGGAGCAAGGTTTCCTCATTGCGGTTTGGCTGGTTTGGCCCATCGACGAATTGGTGCAAGAACAAGTGCAAGTTAACTTCGGTCATACAAGGGATCTGACACCCCTGAAGAGGTACAGTCCCATTGTAGGGGATAGAAGCGGCCTGGATTTGAGGTAGCACTATGAGTAGACAAACAAAGACGCCGAATGGACTAGCCATGGTCATAATTGTTAGCAAGAAGGGGAAAAGAGAGCTCAGTGAGCTAGTAGAATGGTGGGAAGCTGTGTCTCCCTGTGTTTTGTGAGAGAATAAGAGGGTAGAGGTGTCCTATATATAGAAAGCTTGGAGTGCTAGTGCCCACCTTGGATGACTTTGTTTTAGACGTTTTCAGATTGGCATTCAACACCCTATGCAACTAGGACTTGAAATCTAACCAAGGGATGAACAGGTTTGCCTATCGATGGCTCACAAGTCCACACTAGCAAAATCCACTACAGTTTTTGAAATCAATTGTACATCTACTGAATTAAATGGCACATATCCTGCTGGAAAAACTAAGGATGAGATAGCAGAGATTAGAGGCCACTGTGTCTTCAACGTTCCCACTCAAAGTTATAGCTCCTATAGGCTACGAACTTACGATGGTGTGTATGCATGGCGTGGTACTGGGAAGTGCGCGTGAATGGACGTGCAGATTGGTGTCTGCTCCACGACTCCATCCCTCTACTAGGTCGTCATCTTGTTGGTTGTTCTGTTCACCGTCACGAATGCATGCCCCGTCTCGATCATTCACACACTTAACGACGTACGTACTGCACTTATGTCTATGTATAGTACACTCACGTAGAGGTGCATGCATGCTTTCCAACCTCAGCCTGGTGGAACACGTATGCTTGCTGGACTAGGTCATGAACGAGTGCATGGCTCGTCTTGATAATTCCCACACTAACACTTTATAACAAGAAAATCTTTATTGCACCACAGAAAAATCAATGGAGTGCATTTAATTGTACATAGCTGTTCTAAAAATAAAGAAGAAATCTAGAGACAGGGCATGGTGATGTTTATTACAAAAATGGCTGCATTGTCGAAATTAAATTCCCATGGACTAAATAATAACAAATCAAAGAAACTATATTGAAATTTAAAAAGTTTACCTCATAAAGGTGGGAGATTGGAGGTGTCTCTGTCTCAAGCTATGTAAAATGGTGCTTTTCTCATTGTAGAATGTAAGACCGCTACATATTTCAATATTTAAGCTTGATCAAGAAGTGCTCATTAATAAGACGTGAGTTACACGGTAGAAAAAATTTAATACCATTGGATTCCAATTTTTATTAAGTGAAATCACATTGTATTACATAATTCATACTATTTATTTGGTCTAATTGTTAATCAAAATCAAACTTTTTTTGCGGGAAATCAAAATCAAACTAAAAATATTGAGATACATGGAAGTCTCACATTCTACGGTGGATGAAATAACAATTCATCCAATCCCATGTTTTCAAATTCTCGTATTAACGGTTGTTCATGGCCATGAATGAACGACTCGACTGTCTTGATTGTTCACACTGAAAACACCACATTTATCATTCAACTGGCCCAAGTAAATCTGTAAATGGTATGCCAGCACTACTATTGTATTCACTG